TTATTAATGGACCAAAAACAAAAATTATAAATTCAATACAACGATTTATGTAAATTCTTTAAAAATATGTAAACTTAAAAAAAACCTATTTAGGTAATCGTAATACACCAAATCACTTCAGGAAAGAATAAATTATCAATTAAAACTATATTTTTGCTAGAAATAACCAACCCTGAATTTACATAGGACTCATTATACGTCAGCTTTCGAATCATCTTAAACACTCAAGAACACGTAGCGACATCTATGAACAATTTTGACAGACGAGTACAACTCGTGAACTCATAACATTTTTGTGATATATTTCAACCGAATGGCTCCGGCGAACCTACAAACAGAGCCACAGTACCATATTATCACAGTCTAGTACACTTATTCCGTACAAAAATATTTGCTAAGCTTTTAAAGTAATTACATCATCTGCCGTTCGCAACTAAGTTGTGGTTTCGGTGCGTCGAATTTGGGAAGCGCGGTCTACTGTGGCGGATTGTTGGATTTACATTTGATGTGATTGTATAATACTGTATATACTATATATGGGAAATGTAATATAGATAAGATGTACATAAGGTTAGAGGCTGTGGTAGTGGGGACTTTTGCAACTGATGATTACATCACACTTTACTCAACATCGATTGTGTGACTGTTTTCTGCTTGATGTTTGCATTAAAGATACAATTTGAAAAGATGGGCTCAAAAAAAGAGATTAATTCATGTGTTAGATATAAGGAACTTTATTGTATTGTTTTATTGGACTTTTATTTGTTATTAACCTGATGTTGTTATGTTCCGTTTGTTAAGTAAACAGTTCTAAATAATGTCTTTTGTAAAGAACCAAACAAAACATAAGATTCTGACTGCCCGGTTGATGCCATGGCTAGGCTACCGAATGCCCTTCGATGTGCCTCGGTTTCGATTCCCGCACGTAAATACTCTTTGTGTGATCCAAAAATTGTTGTTCTGGATCTTAGTGTGAAGTGTATGTGAAATTGTATATTTGTTTGAAGAAAAATCTTATGCGGAGCAACGTTTTTTAAAGTACATAAAATTTTGGTTGTTATTTTAATGATTTTCTATTAGTGATTAACTCGATGTCCTTATGTTCGGTTTGTTAAGTAAAGAGTTCTAAATAACGTCATTAACTTGACCAATTTTCTATTGTTTTGTCAAATTTAAAATTATTATATACTTATCAAGATGCCCGAACCACCAAGGTCGTTTAAAGTGAAAAAATCACCAGTTTTCGTACCTTCTAGAAGCATTTGCGGTAGAAAATTATTAACTAACACTAACCATGTAGTGGTCAAACAGTCTTCTATAGTCGGCCTCACAACTTGGTCCGCCATACTCTATTAATCTGGCAACGAGCTCCCTCACTTGAAATACATTACAGCAACTTACTGGGATCGTGCGCCGACTTGCAATCTCACTGCTCACTTATGAATCAATTTGCTACACTTTCAAACTGTTTTATTTTATTTTTGTGAATTAAATTTTTGGTAATGATTTATTAATATTTCGACCAGGGATGGTAAGCAACATTCCTGTTAACTAAATTACTAAACAAAGGAATGGCGGAATTATTCTGTTCAATATTCCATCAATGACGATTTTCTGCAGTGCAAACTTTGGCCAAAAAAAACGAAAAATGAGTGAAAATACCAAATATATTTAACTAAACCAGATAATATAATAATAATAAATAATAATAAAATTTATTGAAGAACACATAATCTAGAATATACAGTTTTGCTTAAAGCTATACCAAGTTCATATTATTGGGTGCCTGAACTAGGACAACCTGTGTTTCAGGCGAAAATGGGTAAAAAGATATTATACATTGTTAAATAATCATAAGTACATAAGTGTTTTTAAATAAAGGAAATAATGCTACGATTTATATTAAAAATAATAGGAAAAAACGATACTTAAACTCTATGTCTATGTTTACTTAAATAATAATTAAAACAAAAATATAAAAATGAAAATAAAAACCTTCACCACAGTTATTTAGGAACTAATAATAACTTCTCTGTGTCTTCATAGGACATGTCTTGAAGTGCTTCGATGAGGATTTTTTTACAGGTATGGAGATTGCAGGAGTAAAAGGATAAAGTCGCATTCAGTTTATTGTATAGGAAAGGTCCGAGGAATACAAAAAAATTTCTTATAAAAGTGTGTTTTGTACTTTTCGCTGGGCAAACGATATCTTTCCTTCTTCTAGTAATTAATTCAGGATTGTAGGGAAGGGTTGAATGTTGTTTAAGTATAGTGCTCATTATAAATAACTGGCGAACTGTTAGTACATTACAAGATTTGTAAAGAAGATTAGTAGGGTAGAGGTAAGAGCGTCCAGTAGATACCTTGAGGACAGCTCTTTGAGCTCTTTCGGTAGATAACAATAGAGTCTTGTCTGTACCACCCCATGAAGTGATACAGTAGGTCAATATTGATTGGCATAGGGCGAAGTAAACCTGTCTGATTATTTTCGGATCAGCAACATAGCGTAGCTTTTTGAAAATAAATATAAGCTTACGCAGTCTAGTATTTAATACATCCAGATGCCGTTTAAAAGAGAGAGTTTCGTCCAATATAATGCCGAGATATTTAACATGAGTGGCCCGGTTAATGATAGGGCACAAGCATTGGATGGGAATGTTACAATAAAGGGCATGCAATGGTGAGACAATACTAGATTTTTCTTTTCGTATTGAAAATTTGATAAAGTGCGTTTTATCTGTGTTTAATGTCAATGAGTTACATCGAAGCCAATTATTTACATTATTAAAACCGTTTTGCGCAAGCCTGTAGACATCAGTTTCCGAGTCAGCTGAAAATAGTAGAGCGGTGTCGTCAGCGTATGACACAATCGTACCGTGTTCCAGATTGAGATTGCATAAATCATTGATGTAAATTAAAAACATCGTAGATGATAGTATGCTCCCCTGGGGCACACCGTAAGGGGTAGTTTTTATATCATCGCTGACGACCTTACCAATTCTTACGCACTGAGTGCGGTCTTCTAAATAACTTTTAAAAAGTTTGAGCTGAGTTCCTCTTATACCAATAGTCTCCAGCTTGCGCAAGAGCACAGGAACAGAAATTGTGTCAAAAGCCCTGGCGAGGTCCAGAAAAACTCCCAAAGTGTGGTTACCCTTGTCAAGTTCTTGCATTATATAGTCAGTCACATAGTGTACCGCGTCAGCTGTTGATAGTCTTGGTCTAAACCCATATTGCCGCTCCGATAAAATTGATCTATCCTCCAGATATTTAAGAAGTCTAATGTTTATTATCTTTTCCAGTATTTTAGACATAGATGGCAGCAGAGAGATAGGTCTATAGTTTTTTACTTGTTCTTTACTGCCTGTTTTATGTACTGGAATAATAACGGACTTTTTAAGACACGCGGGAAAGACACCTGATGATAAACATAGGCGGAAAACATAGGTAAGAGGTGGAATTAAAATGTATCTAAATTGTTTCAAGATTTTGTTGGAGATATTGTCCCAGCCAGCAGCACTGTCATCTTTTAAAGTCATAATTATATTGTTAATCTCAGTCTCGTCAGTGTCTATCATTGCAAAGGATGTGAAGGGGGTGCACTTCTTTGGAGTACTTGGTTGAGAAACATGTCCCTGGATTTTTTCTGCCAGACTTTTGCCAACATTAGCAAAAAAGTTATTAGTCATATTAGCGGCCGCATGCGGTGTCGAATATCCTTCTAATAAACCTGAGGATGACTCACTTTGTTTGGAAGCGTATGTTATGTTTTTAATGCATTTCCAGATTTGTTTACTATTTGTGCCAGCCTTTTCTAGTGTATTTTTATCGTAGTTACTTTTAACTTTTTTAAGCAGATCATTACAAAAATTTCTGTATCGCTTATAAGATAATTGTAGATACATATTGTCTGGATTACGTTTGGCTTTAGTGTGCAGTTTGTCTCTATGTTTCATACATCTGATAAGGCCAGGCGTAATCCATGGTTTTATGTTATGATTTTTATTACGTAACTGTATAAGTTCTGAGTTTTGCTGGATTGCATGACGCACACTTTCTATAACATACGTCATGCAATACTGCGGGTCGGTAGAATTATAGACTGGCTCAAAATCGATGACGCGTAAATCCTCCTCAAGTTTCTTTAATTGCAATTTAGTAACTAGGCGAGTATTTGGTTTAGGTAAAGTACAATTTAAGGTTAGTAGGACAGCATTATGATCGGTTATAGTTGAGTTAGTAACAAGTGCAAGTGCGCGGTAATCTGATTTTAGTATGATGTGATCTAGGCAGGAACCTTTTTGATGTGTGGGAAAGGTATGCGTGGGGAGTAAACCCTGTAGCGCGCATGCATTGAGATATTCCTGAGCAGACGCATCAGCACTTTCCGGCATAATATTAATGTTAGTATCTCCAATCACAACTATATTTTTGAAGGGTGTAAGATTCTGCAAGGTATCACTTAAAGAGTTAGTAAAATTTTGCGTGCTTTTAAATGATGGTGATCGGTATAATGCTAAAACTGCAAACTCTGAGCCGATTTTAAGTAATAATCTGGAGCAGTCGTGCATATTCGGTTCCACTACAGATAAATTAGGTAGGTAATCCCTTGCATAAATTATCACTCCATCATTTTGGTTGTAATGTTTACCACTATAATACATATTATACCCAGGCATTAGTGGTATGTTATTCTGTTTGGCAAGCCAACATTCTGTTAATACAATTATATCTAATCTATGAAGAAGTGTGCTAAGACTGTCAAAATTTTTGAAAACACTACGGATATTTTGGGTTAAGATTGTTAGTGGTGTGTTAAAGCTAGACAGATGTCGTTTGCAGCTTTCAATTTCACAAACTTTAGAGTCAGACACAGAGAATTTGTCTAAATCATTAATAAAATTACTTATCATACGTTGTATATCTAGGAGTAGGACTAAAGATTATAAATTAAGTTGTAGCGCTCTTAGGCGCCTCCATAGTCTACCGAGTTTATGTACCTTTGTTCGGCCATGGTTTTTGCCGGGCATTCAGTAGCACCTGTCGTGTGGTTGGCGGGCTTTTTGAAGTGCAGACAAGTTGCACATTTGGGTTCATCTGACTTCTTTGTAAAATCCTTGATAGTATGGCCTTGTTCTCCGCAATGGCTGCAGGTAAAAGAGGTTTGACGACATGATTTAGCAGCATGTCCGTACTGCTGACATTTGTAGCATCTGGTCACCAGAGTGAAGTCTCGAACAGGGCAGGAAGACCAATTGATAAAAACTCGCTCTTGCGACATCAGGGCTTTACGGGTGGCTGCAGTTACCTCGATCACGAAATTACACGTCGCTGCATCTCTTCGGCCTGATTTGTGGCTCATCTTAGTCGCAGACAAGAAAGAGTCCAGACTACAGTTCTCCAGTTTCTCCGCCAGATTCTGATGGTATAGACATGTTAGGGCTTCATTGTCGGGCATAGTAGATGGGACACCGATGATGACTACACGCGGATTCCTTTTTTTGGGCTCATCTACGGAAAGTCCTGAGCTAGATAATTGCGTTGATTGGCGCAACTTCTCGATATCACCCTTCGATTCCGTGCTGATGATAACGCCACCGTTTTTCGTTTTGCGAAGGCTTCTTACTTGTAGCTTCATTTCTTCAGGGCGGATAATTTTTTAGCTAACTAACGCTCGTTTTAATGGTATTTTAAAGATGAAATTGGAATAACCTAGATTACTAATGCACAGGAAAATGTCAGTCATATTCCTATTTCATATTTAAAATACCATTAAAACGAGCGGACCTAAAAACTTTGCGCTTATAAATAATCGCGTCCCGATTTTATCCACCATTTTCCGTCCGTCATTCGGTCCATTTCGCTGCAGGATGACGTCACGAGTACCGACTGACAATACGACGCGGCTGATGACGCAATTAGACCGACACTTTTAAGTACCCGACGTAAAAATGGTGTAAATTTTATTTCTGTATGCATTTCACCCGCTTTGGCGTGAAAGAAGGCTGCCATGCCTATCGTCTGCCATGATCTAATGAGGAAAACGTTTGAGCACTTGTCAGGTCAGTTATCTTGCAGTGCAATGTTCCTTTGGATTTATTTACGTTAACTTAGGTAGTCGGGGAACTAAATTTTCCAACAAAGTAAGCGTTTTGTTATGGAAATTTATGGGAAGGCCTATGTGTAACAGTGTGTCTTCCGGTTGATATGGTGATGAAGCTTGTTAATGACTTCTACGGGTAGATAACAATGGCTTTCTTTGGATCCTTTTGTTTTGTTCTATTTTGTATAATATGGCATGAATTTAATTCTGCTTTGGATAAGACCTAACAAAATGTTTACCTTATAAGTAAACGTTTTTGTTATTTTGCGAACATCGCATGCTGCAAAACGTTTCATGACTAAAACATTGAGAAAATGATCTGGTGTTTTCGTGTCTGTACTTCTTAGCAAATAAAAAATGAATCCCAACTGTGGTACGTATCCATAAAAAATAGGTAATGTAATGAAAAACAACTCGTGACATAAAACAACCCATAGAAGACCAGGATCAGAATGGAAAATATATGGCAGATACCAAAATATATAAAGCTAGTTAGCAATCTAGAAGTACAATAGATACACGTATGTACTATTTACTATCTACCCCGATACCCCCAAATACATCATAAACAACAAAACGTAGAGCAAAACCGAAGGCCATCTGCGAATGTTAATTAAAACAATAAATTAAATACGCCAAGTGGGTAGCAATGAATATGTCACGACACAGGTCGGTATTACCAATGCAGAGGTCGCCTAGTATGGTTCTCGCCACCTTTATAAACTAACGTTGAATTTCGCTAATGTTTGCCAATGAAATTAGAGGTGAATAGTTGGACGGAATTTATTTGTGTAATTAGGGACAACAAGTGGGCTTAGTGTTCGAATTTATGTCTTATGCTCTTGTCTTAAGTACTAAGAGTAATTCTCTTAGTTTCATAATTAGGCGTTTAGATATTGTCTAGTTATTACTTGATTTTTATTCACTTTCTGACAACTTGATTTACTATACATGGAGTATTATTGGCCTTTGTTTGGGGATTGTAACATATGTACGTCAATCTTCTAGAATTATGTAAGATGCTTCTTTAAAAGAATTTTACACTATAATTTCTAATTGCTCATTGTGTTATATTTTATTTTGTGTAGACCATTCTTTATTGTAAGATAGAAGAAGAATAAAAAAGAGAATAGAAAAAGAAGAAGTCAAATCAGTATTAATAAAATCAAAATCCTTCGCATACTACATATCATTCCAATTCAATTATCAAGATTACCAGTTAACAAAAATATAAAGTCATCAATAAATGGCCGTACATTTCCCGCGGCTCCCATGGCCCGATATATTTGTCCATGTGCGGCGGTCCGCGGTCGGCGAAAGACACAACGGACCACGGTCGACAGTTACCAGCGTGTCGCAAAAACTAATTCAAACCGAAGGGTTGCCCGCCCGCCATAAATTTTGTCCTGGAACGCGAGCCGCGTGTTAGTTAACTATAGTTTAGTATGCGGTGTCATCACGCTTCATACAAAGTACGTGTAGTTTTAAATTTGCTAAGAAGTTCGGTATGCAGTCTAAGTAAATTTATGGTGAGTCAAGGCAGTGAGTTCTAGGACTACAAAAGTAGACGACCAACTCTTTATATATTTTGTCACTTTTTGATATAATAATCTCCTTTACATTATACTTTTTTGTTTGCCACACTCAGAGAAACTTACGGTTTTAAGATTTGTGACAATAATAATGATATATTAAAAACAAAAGTTTCGTTTCTATTACAATAAAAAACAAATAGCGACGTTCCAATATTCTCAAAGCAATAGATAACATATCGCACACCACAATAACCGAACAGTACACAAATCCTCGAGCTATTCAGAATTACGATTTTTTCGCTCCTCGGCATATATCACTGGGGCCGTTCGATTTAACTGTTTTCTTACGTTCAAATTTATAGAGGTTGGAGCCGAATTATAGCCGCCAGGTGTTGGCTATAGTCTGCGAATGCCACTAGTTTTGTTTTGTTAACAGAAACACTTTTAAATAAGAATTTCGAAGGTTTTATGAGCTTTATGATCTGTTTTATCTACTGTGTTATGAATGTAGAACGCCTTTTTTAATATATTAATGTTTAACTATGAATGTTTACTTTAGTCATATTAACTTTGTAACCTTATTTCAGAATAGTCATTTAATATAAGTAGTATGATATCTAACTTCCAGATCGCCATGCATTATCGAACATTTCTGAAAAACAAACACGTAATTGGATTTACCTTTAATTAAAAAAAAAACCGTTGAAACTTCACTCGCACTTACAACCGCCGACAAGACAGGCCTCAGCAGTGCGTGTTACACAAAAAACGCCACACACACACACATGTCAAAGGTATTTCTCCTTACAAAATATTCCCTTAACGTCTAATTTATCACAAGGTGCAAAAACTCCCTGAAGTAACGTAATGAAAATTTGTATCAAAATTCCTGGGTGGGTGTCGTGGAACATGTTATCAGCGGGTATTAATCATTCGCTATGCTAATATATGTATGTGTAGTGAAGTGATTATATTCAAATTGATGCTTTAATTTTATTCATGCTTATGGGGAAAATGCGCACCTATTTTCGTTGTAGATATAGGTTTGTGTATGTTGTGTGCGTATGCGTTCCGGATAGTTATTACTACGGCTAATTAACTAATGATTGGTGAAGGCAAATAAGTGATCCAAATTGTGGATTTTGCTGCGAGATATTACTGTTTGATTTTTTTAATATTTTTCTTAAATTATATTTACTCGTACAAAAAGACAATAATGCCTGGTTTGAAGATTCCAATTTTGGTTGCCATCTTCAGACCGGATAATTTCGCTCAAAAGTACCTATCTATGCACCCATTTTAGTAAAAGATAGATAATTAAGGTAGTTTCTATATCAATGTTATTAAAATTACGCTTATAGTAATATTTTTTTTTATGTAATTGGTCGGCAAACGACCAGACGGATTACCTGATGGTAAGCAATCAGCGCCGCCAATGGACACCCGCAACAGAGGAGTTACGAGTGCGTTGTCGACCTTTTAGGGATTAGGGTTTTGGAGATTTAGGGATTGTAAAGGGATTGGGGAAGGGGAAGGATTGGGTCTCCAGTAACCTCACTCACACGGCGAAACACAACGCTGTGGTTGTTTGACGCCGGTTTTCTGTGAGGCCGTGGTATCACATTCGTGCCGAAGCTTGGCTCTCCCACACTTATTTTTATTTCACTTTACTTAGAAACGTAAGTAATACGATTTTGCTACTTAAGTTCAGACTATATAACCAAGTGTCCAATTAATGAATTTAGTAATTATACCTAATTTTAAATTAATAACAAAATGATTCACATTTTTGTGTCATCATAGACACGCACAATACATCTTGGTGTAACCCTCTAGTGCATAAATAACAACATAATTGTCGTGTTGTTTGACAAACGACTAGCATTTTGCAGAGTTTGGGGGTTAACTACAGGCACATTAATATTGCGGGCCTGTCGAGACATACCCCGGCTTGTTGGTATTTGATGCCTATGAATGTTAATGGGAAGTTTACAGGTTAAAAAGCATTACCTTATTTCTCCACCCTTTGCTGTGACGAGGCAATAAAACATACTCGTATGTTTAGGTACATCGAATTAATCAAATTTAAATGTTATTTTGAGATGAGGATTAAGTGTATTTAAGCGTGGGAGAGCCATGCTTCGGCACGAATGTGTCGGCTCGACCGGAGTGATACCACGGCCTCACAGAAAACCGGCGTGAAATCACCACCGTGTTGTGTTTCGCCGTGTGAGTGAGGTTACCGGAGGCCCAACCCTTCCCCTCCCCCATTCCTTCCTCAATTCCTAAATCTCCAAATTCCTAATCCCTAAAAGGTTGGCAACGCACTCGTAACTCCTCCGTTGCGAGTGTCCATGGGCGCTAATTGCTTACCATCAGGTAATCCGTCTGCTCGTTTGCCAACCTATGACATAAAAAAGGATTATTTTCTGATTAAGATAGCATAAAGGTTTATTTATTTAAATCACTACATAGTTTTAAAAAATGTTTTCTCCTTCCTTATATCTCTATGTATATTTGATTCTTAAAAACAACGCAACGGATATTGATGCGGTTTTTTAACAGATAGAGTGATGAATACGAAGGTTTATATATATATATATGTATATAATAGAATCCTTTAAATAGTAAAGTAATAGCATTACAACTGTGTGAAGATGGGGCGAGTCGCTATTAGTTTATAAATTTCCGAAATTGTTATGCGCCATGGGGGTCACCGGTGACCTCCGTTAGCGGAGGATTTGCCTTCAACAGTTTTCTGTCGGCAGTCAAAGGCTTAACCTTTTTGGTCGGCCATTTAAGGTTCTTATTTAAACTGCTTGTAAACAAATGATGAATGAAATACTGTTTTGCTGAAGAAATACCTACTATTTATCTAATAATCAGTTAGCCTAAACATTTATACTTAAATATCTACCTTTTTATTCTGGTTTAGTGTAAGTTCGATACGATGCGTGTTGCCATAGCTCAGTGGGGCAACAAACTGCCGTATCGAAGATG